AGTAGCATTGAGATGCGAGTTGATTAACCTGTTCGTATTGAAACCAACTTGCGATGCGCAACAGCTTGATAACAAATGCTCTTCTTGTATAGCAGCCTCATTTATATTCAATGCTATACAACAGCTTCCCCCAGTTACCTACAATTTGTCAAACCCTGTGCAAGCTTATTCAATCTTATGCATGCACATTTTTCAGTTCATCATTCTATCTAGTTTTCTGCCTTTCTCATCGACTTTCCCCATCTTTTCACAGCCACCCAATCTCTCTAACTGGTCACTTGCCTCTCCCTCACATATCTTGACCTGCCCAGGTCCACTTTTTTTTTTCCTGATGCTATATATAATTCCATCTAGCCTTATTTTTTTCTGTATTAAGCTTTGCTTTTTTATTACCTCTACATTCTGCTAACTATTTTCTGTTTCTATGTTGCACAGTTTTTTTTTTATTTGTTATGGACTTTTTCTTTTTTTACTATCATACATTTTTTCACACCACATGTTAGTACTCGCAGCATACAATAGTTGACCACTTTCCACTTTAGCGACAGTTACAAATTGCCTTTCATGATTTGTGTATGTCTGCCATCAACGCTCTAGCCCATCCATACTCTTTGGTGAATTTCCTTTTCATCAGTAGTGTGTCCTGTCAATTTCAACAACTTAAATATGTATATGCTAAGGATTCTAGTGTGCTGTTGCCAGTTGCAAACTCTCGCTTTCTTGTTTGGTCTCCTAACATTTTATCTTTGTTCAAGTAGGGTTAGAGATACATAGGTAAAATACATTTTCTCAGTTTAGACCCTCAGTTTGTTGTAGCTCGCCAGCATCAATGCTGAAATCAAAACGTCATTTGCAAAGTGTTTGTATCGAAATATTCCTTGTCAATCTCTACTTGTGTTTCTTGTCAACATGGTGGCTCGAATACTTCTGCTAAGCATGTTGTAAAGATTGTTCAGATTTTGTCTCCTTGCCAGATCCACTTCACAAATAAAATTTTTCTGCCCTATAGTGGACTCTCTGTAGACGTAAGCTAGGGTATTCATGTATGCATTATGGACTAGCTGCTTCAAGACTGCTGGTATCTCTACCGAGTCAAATGCTTTTTTGTGGTCTCTGCAAGCCAAGTAAAGAGATGGGTTCTGTTTCGCAGATTTTTTTAGTTTGACAGCGCATGGCAATGATCCCCAGTGGGAAATCATTTGATCTGTGTATAATTCTCTCATGTCTTTTTTTTTCTGTATTTGTATGGTATTCGTGTTTTTACAATTTGGCAGCACATTTGATTGGCCAGTATGTGAGGCATTGTGCGGAAAGTGTTACAAGTTTGTTAAACACGAGATCTCCTCTCCAAACTCCTCTGTTGAATAAAGTTTTTCTCCTCCTCCTCCTCCTTTATCTTTGATCGAGTCAAAAATTTCATTGCATGATTTTTGTGGCTCTTGTTTTGTAGGGCGCCATTCTATTCTCCCAGGGTAGGGTATCTAACGAGATTCATTCTTGCTTAGGCTTCTGATTTTGTTTGTTTCTTTCGAACTTTGCCTATACTAACTGATAAAATTTAATTGTTTTGTTGAACTCGGCCTTCTGTCTCTGTTAGACAGCTAATTTGTGAGCTGTAGAGCTGTAGTAGAAGTCTTCTTCCATCTTTGCTGAAACTGCTGATTACTTTGCCCTACTTATCTGTTGGTGTGTGCATTCGTAAAAAGTTTCTTATCATGCTCTGTCCTTCCTTTCAATTTTTAATCTATTTCCTTGTTATTATAAATCTTTATTACCAATTTTCTTTTTGTTAATCAGCTCTTTTAGCTCAATGAATTCAACTTCAGATCTTGAGTAGATAGCTTTTGAGGATTCTTGCTTTTCTTTAGGTATTTTTTTGTGATTTGGGAGAGTTTGCTTACTTCCTGTCTCAGTGCTTTAACCTAACTACAGTTGTGTTTTAGGAATCAATGTAGTTATGCTTTTGTTCATTTATTCTGTCACATTTTTTTTTGTTGTTCTAAGGCCTCGCACACTAGTGTTCTAAGGCAACGCTGAACATGCACGCGACTGTGGCTCTGCTTCACTTTGAGGGGAGCCTTCCAAGTCCTCTGTATATTATAAAAAATTGAATTTTCGGGTTCCTTGAAGTTCCGCATTCAATTTTGGCGGGCTTACTGATGATGATGACTATAAAATTCAAACATGTGAAAAGATAGTTTTCGTCAACTAAAATGAACAGTTTAAGAAGAAAAGGCACGAAACACGAATTGCCGGTCATCGCTGCTGTAGCTGAGGTTGTAGCTGCGTTGAATTTTGCTCGCAACAACCTAGGCTTACGTTGGCTCGTTGGCGCTGCGTCTGTTTCATGAGAAAATGAGGAAATGTGTCAAGGCGGCTTCCAGTTTTCGTACAGCGTTTTGTATCACAAGAAACTTGGATATCATGCAAACATCATTAGACAGTAGGCAACATTGTGAACTAGCGAGATGACCCGTTTTTCACCGCTAGAAGTGCGAAATTGCGATATCATGCAAACGTCATGAAATCCCATGAAACCATGTGAACTAGCGAGATACAGTTTTATAAATCTAGAGTGATAAACTGCGCCATCATGCAAACGTCATGTAACAACACGAAACTATGTGAACTAGCGAGATAGAGCATTTTGTACCGCTACAAGTGCGAAACTGCGATATCATGCAAACGTCATAAAAGCCTACGAAACGTTGTGAACAGCATTTTGTACCGCTAGAAGTGCGAAATTGCATTACCATGCAAACATCAGGACAGCGCACAAAAAATGCGAAATAGCGAGAATTAGCATTTTGTACAGGAAGAAGTGTGAAACGTGCGATACCATGAGATCATTGTACAGCACAAAAGGACGTGAACTAGCAAGATAGTGTTTTTCATTGCTACAAGTGCGGGATGGCGATATCCTGCAAACAACATGAAACCGCACGAAACAACGTGAACTAGCGAGATACAGCATTCTGTAAATCTAAAAGTTAGAAACTGCATTATCATGACACCGTTATGTCACTGCACGAAGCGATGTGAACTAGCAATATACACCGCTTTGTACAAATAGAAGTGTGAAACTGCGATATCATGCGAATATCATTACACAGCAGGAAAAGATGTGAACTTGTGAGATAGTGTTTTGTGCTGCTATAAGTGCAAAACTGCAACAAAATGCAAATGTCATGTAACCGCATGAAACGATGCGAAGTAACGAGATTCAGCGTTTCGTACCGCTCGATCGCGAAAGTGCGATGTCATGTGAACATCATTAACAGCACGAAAGGATGTGAACTAGCGAGATGGTGTTTTGTACCGCTAGAAGTGCGAAACGGCGACATCATGCAAACAACATGAAACCGTACGAAACAACGGTGAACTAGCAAGATACAGCATTTTGTACATCTAGAAGTGCGAAACAGCGATATTATGCAAACAACATGAAACCACACGAAACGACTTAAACTGGCGATATACAGTAATTTGTATCGTGAGAAATTTCGATATAATGGAAACATCATTAGACAGCAGAAAATGATGTGAATTAGCGAGATACACCGTTTAGTACCACTGGGAGTGCGAAACTGCAATATAATGCAAACGTCATGAAAGCAAACGAAACGATGTGAACTAGTGAGATACAGCGTTTTGTATCACTAGAAGTGAGACACTGCGATATGCAAACATCATGTAACAGCACGAAACGATGTAAACTAGGGAAATACAGCGCTTTGTATTGCTAGAACCGCGAAACTACGATATCATCCAGATGTCATGTAGGAGCACGAAACAGTGTGAACTAGCGAGATACAGCGTTTCGTACCGCTAGAAGTACAAACCTGCGATATCATGCAAACATTATTACAATGCACGAAAAAATGTGATTGGTTGATTGATATGTGGGGTTTAACATCCCAAAACCACCATATGATTATGAGAGACGCTGTAGTGGAGGGCTGCGGAAATTTTGACCACCTAGAGTTCTTTCACGTGCACCTGCACCTGAGCAAATGGGCCTACAGCATGTTCGCCTCCATCGAAAATGCAGCCGCCGAAGCTGGGATTTGAACCCGCAACCTTCATGTTAACAGCCGAGGACCTTAGTCTCTAGAACGAAAGGATGTGAATAGCAAGATACAGGGTTTTGTACCGCTAAAAGTGCGAAACTGCATTGTCATACAATTGTCATGTAACAGCATGAAAATATGTGAACTTGTGAGATCGAGCATTCTGTATCACTAAAAGTGCAAAACTGTGATATCGTGCAACCATTATACAGCATGAAACGATGTGAACAAGCGAGATAGTGTTTTTCACCGTTGCAAGTGCGAGATGGCGATTTCCTGCAAACAACATGAAACTGCACGATATGACCTGAACCAGCGAAGTACAGGGTTTCATAAATCTAGACGTGAGTAACTGCATTATCATGGAAACGTCACGTCGCCGCACAAAGTGATGTGAACTAGCAATATACACTGTTTTGTACAACTAGGAGTGCGAAACTTGGATATCGTGCGAACATCATTACACAGCACGAAAGGATGTGAACTAGCGAGATATAGCCTTTTGCACCCCTAGAAGTGCAAAACCTTAATATCATGCAAATGTCATGAAAGCCCACGAAACGATGTCAACTAGTGAGATATAGCGTTTTGTATCGCTAGAAGTGAGAAACTGCGATATCATGTAAATCTCATGTAACAGCACGAAATGATTTGAACTAGCGAAATATAGTGTTTTGTACCCCTACAAGTGCGAAACTGCGACATAATGCAAATGTCATGTAACAGCACGAAACGATACGAAGAATCAAGATACAGCGTTTCGTACCACTAGAAACGTGAAACTGCGATATCATGCGAACATCATCACACAACACGAAAGGATGTGAACTTCAAAAAAATGGCTAGTTGGGCGAGTTGGTAATAATGCATAATATACTGCACAAAAAACGGACGGAAACACGAAAGGAGAGGAAAGGACAGACAAGCGCAGATTATCAACTGAAGCTTTATTGCAAGACAAGGCAATATATATAAGGAAAGGATAAAAAGCAAGGGAGGCAAAGGGGAAGGAGAAAAAAGGCACAAGAGACCAAATCAACAAAAACCTAGGCCACATAAGAAATAGCACGTGCGTCACATAAAAGGAAGAAAACTTAACTCTTTATTATGTATAGCCACAGAGTATGTATGTATGGAACACTGACGCACGACTCAAAATTTTTGTGAATATGCGCAGCCTCAATAAGTTCATGCACTTTTTGGTTCTTATGCCGAAACAATACAGAAGTATCACCAGAGAGCGGCAGGCAGCCGCATTTCTTATAGTGGGCTGCCAGATGAAGGCCGGAGTGGCCTTTCAGAGAATTAAAATGTTCTCGAAGTCTAATATTTAGACAGCGACCTGTCCGACTCATGTATACACGTTTGCATGACAATGATATGGAGTAGACAATACCGGTGATGCAGGGTACATAATTATGAATATGACTAACATTGTATGTATCTTACTGGACATATGTCTGATTTACAACTCGTCTATCTACTTTGGCACATCAAATGGACAACTTGTTCCTGGCAGAATTGATGTTGACCTGATGTGACGCTTCTATCATAGAAGTACATAACGTCTACAAAAATGAGAACCAACACTGCAACCACGTTTGACATTTCATCAACGTTTCGCCTGCATAGGGTATTTTTCCAAAACAATTTTGAGACGTGGCATGACTCTTTGGTAGAATACTTGATTGCCAGGCAAAAGGCTTGGATTCAATTCTTGCTGTAAGTCTGATATTTTTTTTTTCATTTATTGGGTAAACACTGCCGATGTCAATTTTTCTTAACGTTCTCACATCAATGCCTTTTCTCTCTATTTGTGGGTCTAAATAAGCTGCCAATCACCTGTGGCCCATAGCCACGGCCTGTGGTGAATACGTATGTGCCACACGTGTCTGAAGAAAAGGGTATGATGGCGTACGTAAGAGAATTTTCATGTCATGATCTGCCAGACATACTTACCAAGCCCTTTTACCCTACCATACTAAATTTAGTCGACAACGAGGTGAGAAGGAGAGCATGAGATGCGTGTAAGTGGCTAGACAGATATAATATACATAGACAAAGACGCTCAAATTACTTGCAGACCTCTAAGAAGTGCTTCACATTTAAGAGTCAATAACCACTTTATTTAAACATCCTATAAAAAATACTCAACTCTATTCTACAAGCATTTTTATAAGGCCCTTTGTCGGAAATGAACATTTGGTAGTTTGGCGCTCCTCTGTCTCTTTTCTTTTTCCTTTTTTTAGCATTGTGCCTGTAGCAACATTTTTTCCGAACAGAGATGGTACCAGAAATTGCGTTAGCACATGAATGAAAGTAAGAATAAATGTAAGGGCTCGTCTTTTATGTTAGGCACTGAATTACTGAGAACAGACAACTATGCCACTGAAAGTATAGGGGATGTTATTGGAAGCAATTGTATTGTAAATGTGAAGAAAGATAAGTATCTGAAAAGATCATTTGCCAATGAAAGGATCCGACGTGACATAGTACTAAGTGACAGACAAACACAACGCATCCCAACACATGAATTGCACAATGAGTAGCTGGTTCAAAAGGCTCACCCATTCAAAAGGCTCACCCAGGCACAATTAATCATCAGCAACAATATGGACAAAGTGAGCAGCTGCGTACGTGCACTATTGGCTTACAGACACGTAGCGGGCACCTCCTGATGCTCCAACGCATTTTTTATCCTACACTTACGCTGTATGCGATTGTAGGCATTCTCAAATAGCGAAGAACGGTCAACGCCGCAGCTGCAAACATTCATTTTCTCGCGGCATGGTTGAGATGCCCACCAAGAAGCTACGCCTAACTGTGAAGGCGAATGAGGCCCGATAACACGATTGCGTAGAAGCAGGAAAGCTTGGGCAAGTTTATAAGACATTAGGAACAACTTTGAAGCATCGAAAAACAGTTTCAAGTATCAGTTTAAAGTTAGTGCTGGTCCTATCCACTCTTTTTTTCCGGTCCTTGTTTTACGGCACTTCAAAGTTTCCTAATGGGAGCGCGATTGATCAGTTTGCATCATTTCCTTTTTATCAAGGCAAGTTTTTTAATCCTACGACAATGAGATCACGTTACAACGGGACCTTGCAATGCTTTCACAAACACTCAGTATCGGTATTTGGTGGAGTAGTCCTTTGGCGAGACGACCAAACCGCGACCCTTGCGCGCTCCCCGATACACAGTCTCGATAATGTCAATCATCTCCTGCTTGTCCTCGAGGGCCCAGTTGATCTTGTTGTTGTTGCCTGTGCCCAAGTCAATCATGATATGCTTGTTGCGAAAAAAAAACATCACGGTGCACGGGTCGTATAACTCATACATCTTGTTGAAGTCCGGTACCTCAGAAATGTCCACCAGGTAGAGGGCTGCGAAGTTTTTCACCTGCAAACAAGCATCGACTCAATCATTTCGTCACGCTTCTCACTTCAAAATGACAACCTCGCCAGTACACGACAACAGCAGAAACGATCCAAGCTTAGGTGTTGCATTACAACTGAGCGAAATCATCGGTGATTCATCAACATTCCTCATTGGTATGAACACAATACCATGGCCAAATATTTGTTAAATCCCGCACCACCTTGGAGTGACAATATTTATTTACCAAGAACTTTAGAATTACAGTGATTCTAGGACTACAATCTTTCGTGGAATACAGACACGCAATACACAAAAAAAAAAAGAGCAGAAAGGCGAGTTGGTGCTCTTCTCATTTGCCTGTTTATATTTTTCTTCTTTAATTGTATTGAATATTTTGATTTGATGAAGCCAGCATCACCTAGCCCATGAAAGCAAGCTTTACTGAGGTCTTTATTTGATTACTTTATCCTCTCAGAAACATATACGAGTTGACATTACATTCAGATATTTATCACCAACATGACAAAGTAGCAGGTTACAACAAAAGACGGGTCCACAAAGGAAAATAACTGATAAGTATTAAGGTTAAATGATGCAACCAGGAAAAGGTCTCTCATGAATGAGCTGAACTCGTGTCCGCCGCATTGGCAGACAACATACCAACTTGAAAAAAGATCACACGTTGCCATCATGTGTGGCACAATCCCAATGCAAGGTCATACAACTGTCACGTGGTCACCCTCTGACTTCTTGAACTTCACAAAAGTGAAACCCCATTAGGCAGTTGGACGAAGATTGGGTTGTGGCCATGTCACACAGGATTTTATGAGCTTTGGAAAGAAGCCTCAAGGTGTCCATTAGGTTGGATAGGTCTAGCGCGATTTAGATGAAGACAGGAGAGATACAACACAGACAAGGGCTGACATTCAACTGAGTTCATGTGCATTTCAACAAGCCTATGCTCCAGAAACCTGCCTGTATTAACCTAATTTGGCGCATAAAAAGGCTTGTTAAAGTGTAAATAAACTCAGTTGACTGTCGGCGCTCGTCTGTGTTGTCTCTGTCTCCTATGTTCGTCTAAATCGCGCTAAACCTATTCGAGTATATACCGACTCAAAGTCAAAGTAATATTGGTCCACTAGGTGTTGCTGCCCCTACATCATCTGTAGCCAATGCAAAATTGAGCGTCTAGTCTTATCGAAAGCTTTCTGAGGCGTACGTATGACTATGAAGAAGTATTCCCCGACGATAACAATACTGCGTAATGCGAATTCAGAGCGTAGCGCCTCGTTCGGGCAATGGCAACTGTGTTTGAAGTTTTGGCTCTCCACAGTTGCAGCAAAGTAACATTTGTTACGTATTGCCACAGAAGCTTACAGTGCTCAAGTGCTACGCACACCCCTCTGCGTGCATTACAGGCGTCGCAAACGAAGCGGAATGCCCTGTTTTGACGAGCGCACGTGACAGCCATGCATCCGCACATGAGGTGAAGAGGCGCTCTTTCGTCCTCGCTCACGCTGATTGATTGATTGATTTGTGGGGTTTAACGTCCCAAAACCACCATATGATTATGAGAGTCGCCGTAGTGGAGGGCTCCGGAAATTTTGACCACCTGGGGTTCTCTAACGTGCGCCCAAATCTGAGCACTTGGGTCCTCGCTCACGCTGACTCTGCTCCATGCTGCTCTCTAAAACTGCGATTTATTCAATAAAAGTGTTTTGGCTTTCATCACATATACTTGTTGCTGCAAGCATGTAGGCCGTCATACTCGCAGGAGTGCTGACATCATAACATACACTAGTTATGGAATGTGTTTGCTTTACCTGTGCACTGAGAGTCGCACTGCAAGTTGTCATCGATTTCATTGCAGGTACGCTGCCACCTAGATCACACTTTGGCAGCGGCGGCAGGCTGTGAGCACACGCGTACTCAAGCTTATTGCATCATCTTTTTCAGTATATTCATCGACTTGACGAAGTGACGATGCCGGTGCGAGCAGTTCTTGCTGCTGCTATCGCCGACAGTTGCTGACGTGCCATCTGTTTACTTCCGTGTGACGTACAGTGACATTTTCCAGCGACTTCTTTCGAGGCATTTCAGGAGTTTTCCTCACACTTTGGCAGCGGCGACAGGCTGTGCGCACACGTGTACTCATCTTTTTCAGGTACTGCAGTGGCCTGCCAGTAGGTCCTTTCTTGACCCTGTGCCCCTTCGGAAACCAGGCCGCCTCTGCGTTTGTGTTTCCACCGTGTGGTATCGGAGTTTCAGTTTCGGAACCGATTGGCTGGCCCCTGGGGGGCATTGTACATAGGTATATGTACAACGCCCACGGTGGGATCAGAAGCATTCCCCCACTGTGTGATCAAGGGTACGAGTCGGCAACTCGGATACAGCGTAATGGAGGTGAACCAAGACGTGTACGAGCCCGGCGGTCGCCCCTTTGCACAGGATGGCATTCACTACAGTGGTGGGACGGGCAGGAGGGTTGGTAATAGAATGGGTCGTCCAGCAACAGCTTTCTTACGGGGGCCCAGAGCTCTGAGGCCAACAGTGTAGCTGAAGACGGCTCTAGAGGGGCACAAATATAGAAGCCACACAGAGTCCGTGGGAGAAGAAATCGACATAGGCACAAGGGCCGAGCTAAGTCAGGCATAGGCTATATTAACATGCAGGGTGGCAGGAATCGGTTAAAGTGGGAAGAGATAGAAGAGCAGTTGAGGCAGGAGGAATTGATGGTATATGGGGTTGTGGAGACACATCTTCGGGACATGGAGCAAGCACCTTGCAATCCGGACTATGTATAGGAATATTGCAATAGAACAAGGCAGCAGAAAGGGGGGTGGTATTGGGGCAATCATTCATAAAAGTACAGACTGGCAAAGGGTCAAGCAGGAGTGCAAGGAACATTTATGGCTAAAAGAGAAAGTGGCAGGGCAAATGACACTCCTTGGTTTTGTGTACTTGTGGACGGGAGCAACGGCCAAAGAGGAAAACAAGGCAATGGTCAAGTGTATATCAAAGGACATTGAGGAATTAGGAGGAGAGTGTGAGATAAATATACTAAGAGATATGAATGTGCACATAGAAGATGTAGATGGGTATACTGACTCAACAGGCAAAATGATCACAGATATGTGTGAAAGGCATGATTTGATCATTTGCAACAGTACTGAGAAGTGTGAAGGGCAAATAACATGGGAGGTAGGAAGGCTGCAGTCAATGACATATTACGCACTGATGTCACATAGGATGTATGATAGGCTCAGGGGAATACACATAGATGAATGTGGCTCCAGACGTCTGGGTAGTGATCACAAATGTATCAAGCTAAGTTTAGGAAGAGCAGTAAAAGTGGGAAGGAGACAAGATGATCAACTTCAGGAAAATTTTTATTCAGAAAGGCAAATAGCAATTGCTACTAAAAAAATTGAGAAAGTAATCACTGAGGGTAATAAAACAGTGTCGACATAAACAAATCTAATTAGACTGTTTGAGCTAGAGCTTGCTAAGGCACGTGACAAGTCACCCCGGAAAAGAAGACACAAGTCCAAGAGTTGGTGGGATGAGGAAGTTAAGAGAGCCATAGCAAAACGTCAGGAAGCCAGCAGCTGCAAAATTTTGGAACCATCTAAACTCCCTCAGAAATAAAACAAGCCTAGAGCAGAGGTTTATAACTACAGCTCAACCTGCAACGTTAGAAGGGGACGAAGCTATTGAATATATAAGAACAAGGGTGACAGAAAAATTTCAACAAAGAAGTGTCTTGAGCACTACAATAGACAAGGATGGATCAAGTGCAGCAATGGCTCCATTTTCCTGAGAGTGGGAAAAGGGTGAGAAGAGGGTTCCAAGGAGTACATCAATAGGCCCGGATGGCATTTCAATTATGCTGATAAAGACATTGGGTCGGAAGTCTAAGCAGGGTTCGAGAGAGGCAGTGAGCAGAACAATAATCGATGGTGAAGTCCCCGATGGATGGAAACTTAGCAGGATGCATGATCTATAAAGGAAAGGGCGACAAAGCTGACATAAACAATTACCGTCCTATAACAGTGACATCAGTGGTCTACAGGCTGGCGATGCAGATTATAAAGGAAAGACTGCAGGCATGGATAGAGGATGAGGGGGTGCCGGGGGAACTGCAGAATGGGTTTCGGAAACACAGGAGGTTGGAAGACAATCTGTTCTCACTGACGCAGTGCGTCGAAATAGCAGAAAAGGAACACAGGCCCCTATGGCTAGCATTCTTGGATATCAAGGGAGCGTACGATAGCGTGGTTCAAGAGGAATTGTGGGGAATACTAGACACACTAGGCGTGGAACATGCAGTCACTAATATTTTAAAGGGTATCTATAAAGGTAACAAGGTAGTTATAAAGTGGGAAAAACAGGTATCCAAGCCTGCAGAGGTAAAACGGGGGCTTAGGCAGGGGTGCCCCCTGTCACCCTTATTATTCATGATGTACCAACAAGGATTAGAGGCAAAATTAGAGGAAAGTGGCCTGGGCTTCAACCGCTCTTTAGTCAAACAAGGAAAACTCATTGATCAGGCACTACCAGCATTAATGTACGCAGATGATATAGTGCTAATGGGCGACACCAAGGAAGATCTGCAGAGATTGATGGACATCTGCGGTAATGAGGGAGATAGATTAGACTTCAAATTCAGTAAGGAAATATCAGCAGTCATGATTTTTAATGATAATGAAGCTAGCGAGCTTACAATACAAGAGGTCACGCTAGAGATAACAGATAAATACAAATATCTGGGCGTAAGTATAAGCAATGGGACCGAGTACCTAAGGGAACACGAAATATACGAGACGACTAAAGGTAACAGGAATGCAGCAGTCATGAAAAATAGGGCACTGTGGAATTACAATAGGTATGATGTGAGAGGAATATGGAAAGGGGTCATGGTTCCTGGTCTGACGTCCAGCAGTGCGGTCTTGTGCATGAGATCAGAAGTTCAAGCAAGATTAGAAATTAAGCAACGTGGAATAGGTAGGCTTGCTTTAAGA